TCGCCTATATGTCAGACACCCGGTAACGGGTGTGTTTAATGGTCGGGTCTTTTCTGCCCGTGCGTGCCCGCTAGGGGGCGCGCGCGAGCAGAAAATAATTGACGGCAGCCCGCAAATGCAGCAGTGCCGTCCGTCCGTTTTTTTACTACAGGCGGACGGCAGGTTAAGGCTTACACCCCCTCACACAAAAAAAAAAAACCTTAGTGAGCCACCACCATGCTTTACCGTGGGGATTGTATTCTTTTTGCAATAGGCCTTGTTGACCCCTCTCCAAACATTGGTTGTGACCATAAAGCTCTATTTTGGTCATATAATTTCAAGTTACAGTGTGCCAGAAGCTGTGAGGTGTGTCAAGGCTTTGTTGGGCATATTGTAACTGCTTTTTTGTGGCATTGGCGCAGTAAAGGCTTCTTTCTGGCAACTCGACCATGCAGCTCATTTTTGTTCAAGTATCCGCGTATTGTGCTGCTTTAAAGCGACCAGACCGCCTTTTTCCAGAGCAGTCTGTATTTCTCCTGAGGTTATCTGTGCGTTTTTCTTTGTATCCCTAACAATTCTTCTGGTAGTTGTGGCTGCATTCTTTGTTGGTCTACCTGACCTTGGCTTGGTATCAAGAGATCCCTGAACTTGCCACTTCTTAATAAGTGATTGAACAGTACTGACTGGCATTTTCAAGGCTTTGGATATCTTTTCATATCCTTTTACATCTTTATAAAGTTCCATTACCTTGTTACCGAGGTCATTTGACAGTTCTTTCCTGCTCCCTATGGCTCAGTATCTAGCCTGCTCAGTGCATCCACATGAGAGTTAACAGACTCATTGACTATTTATACATAGACACTAATTGCAATTTAAAAAGCTACATATGTGGGAAATGAACCTTTATTTGCCATTTTAACCTGTGTGTGTCACCTTGTGTGTCTTTAACAAGGCCAAACATTCCAGGGTATGTAAACTTTTGATCAGGGCCATTTGGGTGATATCTGTTATCATTATGATTTAAAAAGAGCCAAACAACTATGTGATAATAAATGGATTCGTATGATCACTAGCCTTAAATAAATAGTTTTTTGGGATGATCAGTCAAATTTTGAATATCAATGCCACGATTTCGCGATTTCTGCCAGGGTATGCAAACTTTTGAGCACAATTGTATATCAGTCTATTGGTTTTGAAAAGAGTAGGGAAGGGCTCGGACCTCTGTGGAATTTTAATTGTTGTCTGTGTCTCCATTGGGGAGATTTAGGCCTTGTTCACACTGAAAGCGTGTGCGTTCCAGAGCGGTAGCTACTGGAACGCACCACGATCGCGAAGAAACTTCTCCCATTCGTGACAAAACTTTGTCAGCGGTGCGTTCCACTGCAAACGCAAAAAATAGGGCTTGCTCTATTTTTTGCGCTTGCAGTGGAACGCAACGCTGGCAAAGTTTTGCCACGCGTTCGATCGCACTGCGGGCGGGGGGGTGGGGGTGGAAGCGGTGCCATTAAATTCAATGCACCGCCACGCCCCTCCCGCCCCAAAACGCTGGGAGAAGTTTCTTAGCGATCGTGGTGCGTTCCAGCAGCTACCGCACTGGAACGCACACGCTTTCGGTGTTAACAAGCCCTGACTCACTAGGGAGATTATCAACAGAACTGAAAAAAGGGGAAAATCTAATCTGTTAAGTTGTCAATATAATGAGGATAGAGGGGAAAATATTTACTGGGGACATGAAATGCTGGTGACAACTGTGTAGGAAAGGGTTTTCCCTCTTTTGGATAAATCTCCTCTTACTTCCTGTTGTGCTGCTTACACAAGAAGTAAAGGAAAATATCTTAATTGGACACAGACAGAAAATAAAAACTTGACAGGGGTTTTTACAGTTTTCTGGTTCATCTAAAATTAGTCTTAATCAACTGTGAGTCAATTACTTTTACAAAACCTACTATTTCACCTTATACAACGTTTATGTATGTGACCTGAACAGTTGATAATATTAATAAACACTATTCACATAACTCATACAGATAATTGATGCCACGATGGCTGACATTTACCTAGTAGTATTTTTTAATCATTTTGCAGCCTGCATTCTTTATTTTGGTGTTTATATTATTTTTGTAATTTAGGCAGATGTATAAAACATCCTGAAATAATTGCCATTCCTATTGAGATTCATAGTGAATTTAAATGGTTCACCAATGGGAAGAATTTGAAAGGCTTAACTGTTATTGTATAATTTTTTACAATATTGATTGTTAAATTGGAAATGCGGAATATAAAGTACTGAGAAAAATCCTATTTTAATTGCATTTCAATCCCATTTGTGACCTTTGGTAGCTAATACTATAGAACATATCTTGATAGGAATTATTTTTTTATGCGTACATTTATTTATTTACAGAATCAACGAATCCCAGCTGACATGGTCTTTCTGAGAACCTCAGAGAAATCTGGTATGTCAAATGTCTTGGCTGAATGAAATGCAGAAAATTAGATTTGTTAGCCATATTCTGCTTGTTGCAGTCTTGACAGATTAACTATTCAGTGGGAACTGACAAAGTTTTGTATGTTGAAACTGCACTGACATTTTATAAGATATATAGGCCTATTTAATCAGCAAAGAGCAACGTGCAGCAGCCCATCAGCTATAGTCTGTTGTTCTGATTGCTCTAAATTGATGAAAGGTGATACCACACTGCTATGGCTACTGCACTTTTGCATATCATCTTTGTACAGGGTGTTTACTCTTTAAAGAGACACTGTCACCTTGCCATGCAGGGCAAAGTGGTAGTGTCTTTGCAAAGGCTTATCCCATAGTTGTACTTTAAACAACTCTAAGATGATATAAAAACTACAGATAAATGCAGCTCTGTAATCATTAATATATCATGAAATGTGATTTTTTTTTTCATGCAGGCAGTGTAAGTACCTGCATTTGGCTTAGCATTGGCTTATTGCAGTTCCTGTACATCAGAGCTCACAAAGGGAAAGTGAGAAGCAGCACAAAAACAATCAGGTGTGCTGCATTGAAAGGAGCTTGCCAGTAGGGCTACAGTACAGAGTGACAGAGAGGTATGCGCATCAGTGTGCTAATTCACCTTTCACTGTCAAGTCATAGGCTAGCAAGGGAAGGAATCAGAGATCAGATTGTCTCCCCTGCCAGACAGGTGTGGGCTGTGTTGTAGAGTCGTTTAACTCTCAGAACTTGATAGATAGAAATAGAAATCCTTTTTGTCGGTGAAATGACTTTCATATATGTACAGTATTTAATCTGTTTATTAAGCTGTTTTCCTAGAGTTCAGCTTTAAGTCTAAACTATAAAATGTGTGCCTGGTCTGAGAATGAGAAATTTGGGGGAATGGTGTTAAAATTGAAATGAGTAACTGGAGCAGAATATAAATAAGAAGCTCAAGGTTAACCGACATGAAATGAGTAGAAAAAAATAGGATACAATGCTATAGTAGCCATGGCAGGAGAAACTACAGGATACCGGTGATACGTGTGGTGGCTTTTGATGTACACTTTGTGTTGACTATAGTGAAGCAGCCACCCTAATATAATGAATGTTCTACATTTAATTTTTAGATGTTCTTCCTTTATGTATCTTCATTATACTTTTTGCCCCTTCTAATGAGCAAATAGTACTCTTGCATACAAGTAGTATGTGCTATTTTGCCTGTTTTCACCACTGCCACTAAAGTATGGACAAAATGCTGTTGTCTGCTTGGCAAAGGAGAATGGATAGCTTTATTTGGCAGTGGTTATTTGTCATAAGAGTAAAATGTTCCTAAGTAAGACTGGGTTGTCAGGCAGAGGATGAAAAGGGGAAGTCTGGGTGGCTAGGCAGGTGGGAGGGGAATTGGGTCATCATGCAAAAAAAAATAGCATTGTTTGGAAAAAGGGCATTGTAAGAGGTGGTTCAATTTGGGCTGCCAGAGGAGGAACATGGAAGGGACACAAGCGACAGCTGACAGGTGCTATTATTGCCAGAGGAAGAGAACATTGTCCACAAGAGGAGATCAGGAAACATGTATGATTATTGGTGTCTTAACGCGATGGGTCAGGGACACTAGAAAAATTGTGGAGAATCAGTGTAGTGGATTAAAAGATGACAGAAATATGACAGACCTGTAATTTCGCATGTACAGTTTTCAATGTGTTGTGGTCTGAGTCACTTTACCTGCGTACATGTGTGTTTTAATATGCAAGTCTTTATGTTGATACAGACACTGGTCAGTAGCTCATGCATATTTTCATCATTGCATTGGGCAGCTTCTGTGTGTGCACTTGGACACTGAAACATTGGAGTACACAATTACAATGAAACTCTTGCAGGAACTGGTGGATCACATAGTCATCTGGCAGAAATCGCAGGGGGCAGAGGCATATCAGTCACGGTCGAAGCACAGATTTAGGCTGGGTTCACACCTAGGCGTATCGAATATGCGCGTTTGTTGCGTGTTTCGTGTCGCGCTTGTGTCACGCGATTCGTGGTTTAAAAAGCGCGCGTTTCCGAGGGCTACTTGGCTGTATCCCAATGGAAACACGCGACAAAAACGCCCCAAAGAAGCTCTTGTACTTCTTTGGGCGTAGGACGTTTTGTAGCGTGTTCATACAGCCTGTAATACGCCCAGGTGTGAACCATACCCATAGGAAATAATGGGATTTCGGTGTTTGAGCGTTTTGCAGAGCGTTCGAACGCGCTACAAAACGCCTAGATGTGAACCGGGCCTTAGTGATATTGGTGCCTTTCGTGGTCACACAGAAATTTATAGCAAATAATCTCGGTGCAGGAGAAGTTTGTTTATTCTGTTGGGGCTTCTGTGCCTATGCCCTTTGCTCAACCCCATACTGCTCTCGCAAATACACTATGTCTGTTGTGGATTTTGGAAGCTGGAGAAAGCCACGGTAAAAGGGCTTCTGCAAGGATAGAAATATGGTAGCGCTTTTACTAGTTTGGATTGTAAAGTTGCAAGCTCTGGGTCTGACTTTATTATCCTGGCTTCACTACCTAATAAGCCACTGACCTGAAGCAATGGGATTTCAGACTTTTAAGACTTTGCTTGCTGCGTACTTGTTCAACGTCAGTGACTTAAATCCATGGTGGCAGCTTCCATATTTCCGTCCCTATAAGTTTCCCTTTACTGTGGATTCACACCAAGTGTGTTGTGTTTATTACATGTTGATACATGTTAAATGCACTTACTTTGATGTGCGTTGTGTGTTTTATTGCATTGTATTGCTGTGCATTTTTCTTTTCATAGCAGGAGTCAAATTACTTTTTCTTTCTTGTTCATTGAGGGACACAGGAAGTTTTTAACTGGCAGGATATACTGCTACCTCATGGAGGATTAGACACTGGTAAACCAACAATTGCAGGCTAGTGCAGGATAACCCTGCCTACTCCCAAAATGCCTCGGTTTTTTGCTAGTGTTGTAGGAAGATGAATATAATTACTTCAGCACTGCTGAGAACAGCCTAACCTTAAGGTCTTTTTTCTTCATTCAAGATTCCTGCTACATCCATGATTGAGCTGATCTAAAAAAAAAAAGCAGCAATCCAGATCAACCTTTCCTCAGCTTAATTTGGAGTGCTGCACCTGGACCCAGCTGGACTGGTCATTGTAGTGCTAGTCTTCAATGTGGCCTTTCGGGCATTGCTAAAAGTTAGCAGCAAAGTGCTTGCCAGGTCCAGAGTCATGGCATTGTCTCAGCGCTTTCCCTGTCTCTGAATAAATACTTTGACCCATTATACATATTTTAGGAGGACTGCCACTGAAGACTCACTTTGTTAATTAGGCTGGTTGGGCTAAAGCACCAGGAGCTACCTCACAACTTGTACTGCTGGACGCCTTTTGAAAAACCTGCCTGTTTTATTATGGAAAGGGTTAATGCTGAGGGACCGTGCATTGATTGGGTGGAGTGTTATGCATGCTCCCTTCATCATGGAGACTTTCTGACCTCTGTTGTCATTAAGAATAGGTACCTGCATGTCCCCATTTTTCCAGAGCATCAGTGATTCCTACGCGTTGCTAGAGTTTCTATGCACTTGCAGGTTGCGGTCCTGCCATTTGGCCTATTTTCGGCACCTCAGATGTTCACCAAGGTATTTGCTCCTGTGATTGCCTGACTATGTCCTCAGGGCATTCCTATTGTGTAATATCTTAAAGATTCATTTGGATCCTGAACCTACAAAAATCAGCGCTGGAACTTCTGGGTCTGGCTCTATATGCACCTTAAGCCAGAGTTTTTTTCCTCTCAAGTATAGAAAACTCCCCACTCCTAGACTCGAACTCTTCAGTCCAAAAGTTGCCCGACCCTTCACTTCTGCATGATGGTAGCCTCCTTTGAGGCTGTCTCATTTGCCTAGTTTCACTCTAAACCCCTACAACAGAACATTCTGTAGTTGTGGGACATGTCAATCCAGCCTCTGGACAGACTGATTTGTATGGCACCAAACGCAAGGTTGTCCCTGGCATGGTAGCTCAGGAATTCGGCCCTGCAAGTCCTTTCTATTCTTCTGAAAGATACTCAAGACAGATGCCAGCCTGGGGGAGGCTGATGTCAGAAGAATCTCATCTCCTGATTAATGTTCTGGAGCCTAAGCCAATTTCTTTGCTCCAGCATGCTGGGCCTCCCATCTGGACGGTTATCTGATGCAGATTAATTTAGAAAACCACAGATTAATTTACAAAACCACAGTAGTGGTGTACATAAACCATCAGGTAGGAACCAGAAGTCTTGCTATAGCAAGAGAAGTAGAGCAGATCCTGTCCCGAGTAGAGCTTCATGTTCCAGCTTTGTCCCGTTTACATCCCATGCGTAAAAAATTGGCAGACAGACTAACTCAGCTGACAGCATCTAGACCAGGGATTGTGATCCTTAATTTGGTGGTGTTTCAGGACCTGTGTCAAAGGCGGCGAACACCAGATGTGGACATCCAGATTATACAACAAACTGGACATATTTGTTTCCAGGTATAGGGATCCTTTAGCGTGAACAGTCAATGCTATGGTAGCACCATGATATCAGTACACCTTGATCTGTGCCTTTCCTCCCCTGAAACTCCTTCTTTATCTGCTTTGTAGCATCGAGATAAAAGGCATTCTGGACCCCTATTTTTAAAAAAATGCTTTGGGTTCCCCCCAAAAGTCTTACCTGGCCCTTTAGGTCTGGTAGTGGGCGGGAAAGGGGGGGGGGGGGCAGTGTGGAAACAGAATCAGGAGACTTAAGCATGGTCGAGGGAGCTGAACATCAGAACCAGCCGGGCAACGAAGTGCAGAATTGACAGGCAGATTTCAAAGTCAAGGAAATATGCCGAGGTCAGGGACAGGCAGCAAGCAAGAGAAAGAGAGTCCAAACAATCGGGGTCAAAATGAGCAGCAGGCAATCTGACAGGGTACAGGCAAACGGTAACACTAGCTGAAAGACCATCAGCAATGTGGTAAGGACAG